GCCCCTTCGTCCTAGCGATCCTCTTCCTACCTCCTCCTTCTTCTTCTCTTCTTCTTCTTCTCTTCTTCTTCTTTCTTCTTCTTCTTTCTTCTTCTTTTCCTCCTCCTTCTTCTTCTTTCTCTTCTTCTATCTTCTTCTTCTTCTCTTCTCTTCTTCTCTTCTTCCCTTCTTCCTTCTTCTTCTTCTTCTTCTTCTTCTTCTTCTTCTTCTTTTCCTCCTCCTTCGTCTTCTTCTCTTTCTCTTCTTCTTCTTCTTCTTTTCCTCCTCCTTCTTCTTCTTCTCTTTCTCTTCTTCTTCTTCTTCTTCTTCTCTTCTTCCCTTCTTCTTTTCCTCCTCCTTCTTCTTCTTCTTCTTCTTCTTCTTCTTCTTCTCTTTTTCTCTTCTTCCCTTCTTCTTCTTCTTCTTTTCCTCCTCCTCCTCCTTCTTCTTCTTCTTCTTCTTCTTCTTCTTCTTCTTCTTCTTCTTCTTCTTCTATTTCTTCTTCTTCTTCTTCTCTTCTCTTCTTCTTCTTCTTCTTCTTTCTTCTCTTCTTCCATTCTTCTTCTTCTTCTTCTTCTTTTCTTTTCCTCCTCCTCTCTTCTTCTTCTCTTCTCTTCTTCTTCTTCTTCTTCTTCTTCTTCTTTCTTCTTCTTCTTCTTCTTCTTCTTCTTCTTCTTCTCTTCTTCTTCTCTTCTTCTTCTTCTTCTTCTCTTTCTTCCCTTCTTCTTCTTCTTCTTCTTCTCTTCTTCTCTTCTTCCCTTCTTCTTCTTCTTCTTCTTCTTTCCTCTCCTCCTTCTTCTTCTCTTTCTCTTCTTCTTCTTTCTTCTTCTTCTCTTCTTCCCTTCTTCTTCTTCTTCTTCTTTTCCTCCTCCTTCTTCTTCTTCTCTTCTTCTTCTTCTTCTTCTTCTTCTCTTCTTCCCTTCTTCTTCTTCTTCTTTTCCTCCTCCTTCTTCTTCTTCCCTTTCTCTTCTTCTTTTTCTTCTTCTTCTTCTTCTTCTTCTCTTCTTCCCTTCTTCTTCTTCTTCTTCTTCTTCTTTTCCTCCTCCTTCTTCTTCTTCTCTTTCTCTTCTTCTTCTTCTTCTTCTCTTCTTCCCTTCTTCTTCTTCTTCTTCTTTTCCTCCTCCTTCTTCTTCTCTTCTTCTTCTCTTCTTCTCTTCTTCTTCTTCTTCTTCTTCTCTTCTTCTTCTCTTTCTTCTTCTTTTTTTTTCTATTTTCTCTTTTCTTCTTCTTCTTCTTCTTCTTCTTCTTCTTCTTCTTCTCCTTCTTTCTTCTTCTTCTTCTCTTCTTCTTCTTCTTCTTCTTTTCTTCTTTTCTTCTTTTCTTCTTCTTCTTCTTCTTCTCTTCTTCTTCTTCTTCTCTTCTCTTCTTCCCTTCTTCTTTTCCTCCTCCTTCTTCTTCTTCTTCTTCTCTTCTTCTTTCTTCTTCTTCTTCTTCTTCTTCTTCTCCTCCTTCTTCTTCTTCTTTTCTCCTCCTTCTTCTTCTTCTTCTTCTCTCTCCTTCTTCTTCTTCTTCTTCTTCTTCTTCTTCTTCTTCTTCTTCTTCTTCTTCTTCTTCTCTTCTTCCCTTCTTCTTTTCCTCCTCCTTCTTCTTCTTCTTTTTCTTCTTCTCTTCTTCTTCTTCTTCTTCTTCTTCTTTCTTCTTCTTCTTCTTCTCCTTCTCCTTCTTCCTTCTCCTTCTCTCTCCTTCTTCTTCTTTTCTTCTTCTTCTTCTTCTTCTTCTTCTTCTTCTTCTTCTTCCTCTTAGCTTTCTCCCATTTCTATATGGGGTCGCCGTTATGGATGAACCGCCTCCACTAATTTTCCTATTATGGCTCATTCAACATTGGTTTTGGCATGACATTTTTTTTTTTTTTTGGCATGACATTTTTGACATGACATTTCATTTTGGCATCTATTTATCCGGCCGATCTGCACAAGGAAATGAAGAGAGTGAAGCACGTTCCACTAGTAATTTTTCAATGATATCCTAATGCGTAAAGGATGATCAGAGGTAAAATCCTGGCCATGACCTCCCCTAGAAGGCAATTACTTGGATGACCTTGACCTTGACCTCGCTTGCGATCGAAAGAACACTCGAGACTGATCGCGTTTTCAACACAAGAAAGAAGGAAAGAAGAAGAAGAAAAAATAAAAACTTTTGTTCGGGGTTAGAACATGGTGAGTCGGAAATCGTTAGGAAAAAAAAATAATAATAGCATAGTGTCTCTTATATTTCTTTGATAGCTATTATTACTCTCAAATTACCATCCTTATAATTATCATTATCGTAACGAATACCAGCCATCTCATTAACATCATGATTATCATACTCATTTCATTATCATTTTGTTGTTATGATGATGATAAGCAATGATGATAATGGTGATGCTAGTATTAATGATGATGGTAATGATAATGATAATGGTAATAATGATGGTAAAGATAATGATAATGGTAATAATGATGGTAATGATAATGATAATGGTAATAATGATGGTAAAGATAATGATAATGGTAATAATGATGGTAATGATAATGATAATGGTAATAATGATGGTAAAGATAATGATAATGGTAATAATGATGGTAATGATAATGATAATGGTAATAATGATGGTAAAGATAATGATAATGGTAATATTGATGGAAATGATAATGATAATGGTAATAATGATGGTAAAGATAATGATAATGGTAATAAGGATAATGATAACCAGAAGCACTAAGAGAGCGCATACCTCCGCCAAGGCATAGGGTCACTGATGCAATGAAATATTCACTCTTGAATAATTACATTAATAATGATAATGATAATCTCACAATCCTCATTAATCCTTTAGATAAAATCCTGAACCCGGATCACCACCAAAATTTAATAACATCTAAGTTGGGTTAAGACACTCCTCTGGTATAGAATATAATGATACTATAACAATAATGATGGTAATAACAATAACAACAACAATAATGATAATGATAATATGATACTTTTTTCTTATAGTTATTGTTATCATTACTATTATGATTATCATTATCATCACAATTGTCATTATTATTATTACCATTATCATTTTAGTATAATTGTTATTATTTTCTTTACCATTATTATCTATTGTTAATAGTATTGAGATTATCATTATATTTATTACCAGTATTTTTGTTGCTGTTATTATTATTACCATTATCACCATCTTCAAAATTATTATTATTTTATTATTATTATTATTATTATTATTATTATTATTATTATTATTATTATTATTATTATTATTATTATTATTATTATTATTATTATTATTATTATTATCGTTATTTTTACTATTATTATTATTATTGTTGTTGTTTTTGTTGTAGTAGAGTTTGTCATTTTTATCATTTTTTATTACCATTAGTATCATTATCATTACTTCTATTTTTGTTATGATTACTGTTATTATAATAATAATAATTATTATTATTATTATTATTATTATTATTATTATTATTATCATTATTAGTATTATTATATAAATATAAATTACTATACCAATACTATTCACATAATTAAAATTGTTGTTATTGTTTTCTTATTATCATTAATATTAACCAGTATATTTTGTTGCTTTATTATTATTACCATTATCACCATCTTCAAAAATATATTTTTATTATTATTATTATTATTTATTATTATTATTATTATTATTATTATTATTATTATTATTATTATTATTATTAATCGTTTATTTTTACTATTATTATTATTATTGTTGTTGTTTTTTGTTGTAGTAGAGTTGTTGTCATTTTTATCATTTTTATTATTACCATTAGTATCATTATCATTATTTTTGTTATGATTACTGTATTATAATAATAATAATATTATTATTATTATTATTATTATATTATATTATTCATTATTATTATCTTATATAATATAAATTACTATACCAATACTATTCACATAATTAAAATTGTTGTTATTGTTTTTCTTATTATGGTGACTGTGATTTTCATTATTACTATTATTTATTATCACTGTCATTATCATTTTTATTATCATAATTATTATTATCATTATTATTAATATTAATGTAATAATGATAATAATGACTATTATTATTGTTCTCTTTGTTATCATCACCAATACTATCTTCATTATTACTATTATTATTATCATCATATGATAATGACGATGATAATAATAATGGTTATTATTGTTGTTATTATTATAATCATTATTATTGTCATCATTGTTATTGATATTGCCATTAATATTATCGTTATGGTTGTAACACTCGTTGCTATCATTATGATTATCATCATTGTTATCATTATCATTATGATGAGGATGATTTTTTATTATCATTATCATTATTACTACTAATCCTGCTACTTGTAATGATCTTATCATTATAAATATTATTATTATTATTATCATTATTATGATCTTCCGGATAATTACTACTATTATTTTTATCATTATTATTATTATTATCATTTATTTTAAGTACCAGTAGTATTGCATCATTATCCTCACGTCGTAATTGTTATTATCAGTATTATTCTCATTATATATAACCTTCACTGTTGTAGTCAGCAGTATTATCGTTATCATTGTCATTGTGTTATTTTTCATTCTTATAATGATTATTATCATTTTATTTTCAATACAACCAATGATAGCACGATGATCATAATTGTCCTGATTATGACTGTTTTATCATCATTACCATCGTGTTTATCATTATCATTGGCCACCTGCCGCCTCATCACGAGAATCTGTAAGCTGCTACTACTGCTGCCGACTGTTCATGTTATTTTTATTTTCACTATTGCGACTAATTTTGATGTCCTTATCATTACCCTTACTATTATTAATATTGATATTATTACTTTTTTTTTGGGGGGGGCAGGGGTATCATTATCAATATCATCATCATGATTATTATGATTATCATTCTTTCTATATTACCGTTCTTATCATTAATACTATTGTTTTCTTTTGACCAGATAGTTTTATGCAAATGACAAGGCATCACAAAATTTCAATCATTATTTCAGGACCAACCGGACATAGCAGACGACTCATCAGCAGAGTTCCAGAGTTATATCACTTCAATGCTCACTTTCGCCGTCGTGAACCTCCTCGTGTATTCCTCCGCCGCCGTCATGCATCGCCTGGGTCGACAGGATCCATATTCCTTCCCGAATTTGACTCGTCGAAATCTCGTTCCGTCTTGGCCTCCTCCCGCGCCTCCGTTCCCGTCCCTTCCTCCTCCGGTTCTGCCTCACGAGATCGAGCCCGAGAAGACCCCCCGCGCGGAGGTCCTGCGGTGGGACTCCATCAACTCCCTGTACGTGAGCTCTGCCGCGTGCGTGGACGAGGAGCACGTCTACGATGAGTGGAAGGGCGGCGCCGAAGAGGCGACTGATGCATCCTGATAACATGCAGTCAAATGTGATAGTTGCATTTATACGTACGATATTAAGGTGGTGTCACACTGCCCCAAAATTGACACCTGATGGACACGCGATAGAGAAAATGTTCTGATTCGGGTCTTATCGCCAATAACATCTATTGCGGGGGAGTGTTTAGCCTGCATTATCACCACAATTATTGTTAATACTGGTATTCACACAAAAGCACACATACAAACCGCACGCACGCACGTGCACACACACACACACACACACACACACACACACACACACACACACACACACACACACACACACACACACACACACACACACACACACGTACGCATGCACGCACACACACTACTGGAGCATAGAACACTCCCTAATAACATGTAGCCTTACTCACTTCATATTATGTACTAACACACACGCAGCTTCTGGTTTCACCTATTTAGAGCTGTCTCATTATGTCATAACTCAAGCTGGCCGGATTGTCTCGATGCTTTCCAACCTGTTTCGAGTTACACCCCGGGATTTAATGCTCC